ACACAGAAAGTGGTCTGCCTTCAGAAGTGATACACTCTGAACGAGATGTGGAGTACAAATGGGATTACCAGTACAGTGCTGGATTGTTAGTAGAAGAGCGTATAGATTTTGGTGCAAAGACTGGCCTCAGTAACGCCAAGTTCACTTTCGATTATGATTCCAACTTCAGACTTATCAATGTACAGGGTAGAATCGGCGGCCAGACACTTCCAGCCCACACCATGGCTTACAGTCCAAGGACAGGTATGCTGGAACAAATTGGACAATTTAAGGTGACCAGACCACAAACCAACGAAACCACTGTGTTCGATGGAACTGCCTTGTTCTCCAGGAGTACAGATGACAGGTTCTTGGAGACCCAAGTGACATTGACTATTCATCAATTAGAAGTGTTCAAGATGGAGTTCACTCATGACATTCGTGGTCGCATTAATCAGACAAGGACATACACACGCAATGTTGCTGTTAATACTTATACTAACGTAAAAAATTATACTTGGGACTGTGACGGCCAGTTAACTGGTGTTGAAGCCCAGGAACCATGGGGTTTCAAGTATGATGCCAATGGGAACATGTTGTCATTGACTTATCGAAAGAACCTTATACCTATGGAGTATAACAATATGGATAGAATAGTTAAATTAGGGGAAGGACTGTATAAGTATGATAACAGAGGATTGGTGGTGCAAAATGCTAGAGAAGAGAGATTCAACTACAATGCGAAAGGGCTTCTGGTCCGTGCCACTAAACGTGGTCGCTTTGATGTGAGATATTACTACGATCATCTGGATCGTCTTGCTACCCGGAAGGATAACTATGGAAATGTCACTCAGTTCTTCTATAACAATCAGAAACGTCCTCATGAAGTCAGCCAGATTTACAGTCCGAGGGATGGTAAATTAATGTCGTTGGTTTATGATGACAGAGGACATCTGATCTATGCTCAAGTCTATCGGCACAAATATTATATTGCCACTGATCAATGTGGCACACCAATCATGATCTTTAGTCAATATGGCGAAGGTATAAGAGAAATAATGAGGTCGCCCTATGGACATATCGTTTATGATTCGAATCCTTATTTATATTTGCCTGTTGACTTCTGTGGAGGGCTTCTGGATCAGGTAAGATAAAAAGGAAAACTGGATGGTATTGTTCTTTATTAAATAAAAATTTAATAAATATTTTTATGTAAATAAGACAAATACATTTGCATTGCGGCCATTACCTCCTAGTCTCTCAAAAATGATTTTAAATAATGAATTGATTTTAAACAAAAAGTACGAAATAAAAGATCTCTCTGTGTTTAATTTGTTTTTTCATTTTTTTCAACTCAGGTAACATCATTGGTGCACATGCCAAACGGCAGAGTTTACGATCCATTAATAGGCCAATGGATGTCTCCCTTATGGGAGAACGTTCTGGACAGAGTGGACACTCCGACGCATCTGAATCTGTATAGGTTCAATGGGAACGATCCTATTGACGTTAGGCATACAGACCGACCAAACCAACCAACTGGTAAGGTCCCTACACCTTCAAGGAGATGCTTTATTGAAGATTTACTAGTCGTACGGCTAGTTTGGTCAATAATGACACTTTCTAAGGCAGTCCCGGTCCACTTGGTCAACTTTGAGAACCTAACCTCATCTATATTCCCTTTCCTTCCCTATAGTATACAGATTTTAACGTATAAATCAAAAGTTCTACTAAAAATGTATTATTTAAAATATCAAATTACAATTAATAGTTTAAAAACTGAAACATTTATATTAAAAAATTGTATATCAATACTTACACCTAACTTAATTATTTAAATGGTGTACTAGTTTATGTTAATTTATTATTATTAGTATTATTATTATAAAATTTTATGTAGTATAATTTTTTATTTTATTGAACTTGGTTGGCGACTCTTATAGACAAAAATTCATAAATATATATTATATTTGAAAATATCCAACTAAAACATCAACATCAACTTTCAATTGCCTTTCAGACCACATATCATGGATGTCGCACCTCGGCTACGACCTCAAGAGCCTCGCCCCTCAACTCTTCCCAGAGGAGCTCCCAGACAGCCTCATTCCTCCAGCTCTAGGACCAGGCACCTCTATCTTTGGCAAAAAGAAGAGAACCAGAAACCTCGGTGTTCAATCAGGCTTCCTCGCCCACATCGCACAAAGACACTCAGGGGACGCTGTCAGCCTCTCAGCGCCACCTCGTTCAGCCCTGAAGAAGGACACAAGCGATCTTATTCCCAGTCGCCTAGGCGCCGCATCAGATCCTCCATTTGGCAAAGGAATCCTCGTCTCCAGAACTGCAGATGGCCAAGCAGTGGTATCAAACGTACCAACAGCTAACGCCATCTATGGCGACGTGTTCACATCAGTGTTCAACCGTTCATACTTCCTCCCGTTCACGTTCATAGTGCACAGCGCTCAACAGGACGCTTTTTACTTCGTAAAAGAAGATACATGGCGGGCCAGTGAGGACCGCGGTCAGTTAAAGCGTCTCGGTGGTCAGGTGAACACTACTTTCCACGAAAGTGAGAATGGTAGTGGTAGTAGCTCGCTGATCGACGTGAAAATCCATGGAGTCAGTTACGTAGTTAATCTGCGTTACGGCACCACTGCGGAAAGAGAGAAACAAAGACTGCTTCACCACGCCAAGGCGACCGCGATTCGTAAAGCGTGGCATAGAGAACGCGAGGCCCTCAAGGCTAACACACCTACGGCTATTGAATGGATGGTAGCTGAGCAGGACGAGATTCTGAAATCTGGATCTGCGTCCAGTTACGAGGGTGAATACATTCACGATGCACAGCAGTATCCAGAGCTAGCCGAAGACCCGTACAATATTCGGTTCGTGAAGAAGGCGGTGGACCCGTCGAGCAAGAAGCGTCGTAGGAGGAGAGGCGCACCCACATGCAAATTGTGGTGGCTAGACAAGATCTGCTAATGATATCGTCAGCCAGGGAGTCCTAATCTCCTGAGATACATTCGGATGCCGGGAGAATTGTCCAATCGTCGAAGCAACAGGAATTTCCAAAATGGTGTAGGTAGAGCGTGTGGCGTGTCAAGAGGGTAGAAAGAGAGAAGAGGATCGAGAATGGAAAGAAAGAGAGAGAGGGAATCGCATCGAGCCGCGACCCCCTCCGTATGAACGTACTGAACACTATCAAAAGAAACAAAAGAAAAAGTTTTATACCAAAGTCTATTTGTGTATTTCGAAGATGCCAAAAACATTTAACGTTATATCGATTATTATTGTACCGCGATTTAGGGTGTAGTGTGTAAGCATCTCGGGAAGAATGTTTGCTACGCGACCAGCAGATAGCGTCGTCGTCGTCGTCGTCGTATGGAAGAAAGGGACACGTTCCAGAAGGCTCTCACCATTGAATTGCCCGTCGTTGTTCTTCTTGCTGCGAGACAAGAAGAGTTCCTTGCGAAAAAAAAAGACGACAGACGGAAGAATCGTGGTCGTGAGAATTGTATACATAACATCATTAAGATACGATCGTACGATGGAGATAGTCATCGAACGTTGAGCGACGAAAATGCAGCAGGGAGCAGGCCATTTGTCGTTGAAGCGAATCGAGTGAGAGAAACTAGTCAATATATAGCTTTACATTGACGTATAAACTTTTTCCAGTAGGATAAGAAGGACAAAAGGCGTCCATCGTCGATGTACCCATTCGAGAAGAAAAAAATAAAAACTTGTGTACCCATCATTTACCCGCGCGATACCTTAGTCGTACTTAGATAACGAGAAGAAGATGGATGGAGGATCGATAAAAGGTTAGGATACATACGATAGGATCGCAAGTGGACACAGAAGGAACACGTATGCGCGTATCTCAACAATGAATGGCCCTGTGAATGCTGAAGAGGATTATATACAGATTAATATGCGTCCAAAGTGTTAATGAAAACATTGATGGAACGCAAGAACATGGCGGAGGAAAGATGGCGTCGTTCGATCGACTTGGTGATCTAACATAACGCGTTTCATTATCTGGATATCGATATTCCGAATTTAGGAAGGCTGAAGGAGTAAAAACGAGAGAGAGAGAGAGAGAGAGAGAGAGAGAGAGAGAGAGAGAGAGAGAGAGAGAGAGATGATATTAAGGTGTATTATAAAAGTGGTGCTTTCTCGTATGAAGGAGAAATATCGGTGCAACGTTCGACAACGGTGAGCGTGACTAATTTAGAGGACGTTGGAGAACAGGTACACACACTCAAAACACAGACACAACTGCATAGCGTGGCTAAGGTATTTTTAACGATGGATGTGTCCTACCCCCCGCTCCCCCGGCCAACATTTAGCGCTAGCGTCCACTTCCTCGAGAATTGATGTCGCGTTGCGTACAAATTGCTGTTCGTGAGAGAGAGAGAGAGGGAGAGAGAGCGAGAGTGAGAGAGAGAGAGAGAGAAAGATAAACACTATCGTCGCGGGAGAACGATGAACATTTGAAAAGGGAATAATTGCGAACGAAGAAAATTACAATCATCGTTTTGTCTCCTGCGACAACGATGACGGAGCAGAAATGTCTGTCTGTTTAAAATCGAAAACGAAAGAAAGAAAAGGAGAGAGTGCAAGAATGAAAGAGAAAGGATAAACTCCATTATCGGTAATAATACGTATACAGGAGATATTATTGCATATTTGTGCTTGCTGGATATGAATAACGGAACGTTAACTATGTTTCTTCACCGAATACTAAGTGTGTATATCTAAATTTAATGCTCGTCAGTACCGATCGTTTTTGCTGTGTACTGAACGCCATATACATCTACGTACATAAGAATATTATTTAGCACCGGCTAATACCCCCTTCCCTTGCCTGAATTTGCTACTACCCGTTCCACGCACATAAGGTCTGGACTCTTCTTAGCTCCGCCTTCTTCCCCCACCCCGTCCTATCGTACCCCTACTACGGTCCTCTGCTCCTCCTCATTACACTAATTTCAATGTACTACCCGTATATAGTTTCCTTTCTTTCAACCTCGATTTCCCCCCGAATTATCACCCCATTATTTTATCACGTTTCTTCGATATTCGCCATTGAATATTTTGCGAAAATACGGCTTTAGACGGCGCCGTTCTCTTAAGACGGATAGATAGCGGCACAACGACATTATCGTCTGAATAGATGAGAAAAACGATTTAAAAAAAACATTAAAAAAAGGAATTACCTTATTGCGCTGAATGTATAAACGAACAAAAAAAGAATACAAAGTATATATAGTGAAAAAGAGGAACAGAGAGAAAGAGAGAGAGAGAGAGAGAGAGAGAGAGAAGAGAAAAGAAGAGAAGAGAAAAAAGAGAGATTATATAGGAAAGCTTCGTAAATGTATTTTTGACTCGAGCGAGTGTTTAGAGTTGCATTGAACACCAAGATAATATCCTTCAAACTCTGTGGTCCAAACGAGCTCTCGTGCCCTTAACGAAATCGAAGGCGATCTTTTTCCTTCGTCTGTTTTTTTCTACTTTTTTTTATTGTTGAAAAGTACGTTGAGAAAACTCGTATTGCGCGTCCGATATCGCACATAATTACCGTAGTCGTCCTTCCGCCATTTTCTCCCGAACTTATGCTGCCAATATTAATACTCTCGATACCGAAGGGCGAAAGGACGAGACGTGTTTACATAACAGAGGACCTCGAGATCGACGGTGATCAAACCACAACCACAATCGTGGGTATCTAAACACTCCACCATACTTACCCCTCCTCTATCACCCACCGCACTCCGGTTGCGCCCCATCCTTGAATTTTCCCAGTTTCTTCGTATATTCTATACATACCGTGTATTACCGTTGAATCGGCAATGGCGTTCAAAGAATCGACTATTTTTTAAAACGACTAAAGAAAGGAAGAGAAGTGTACCGAGTGTCAAATTATTAAAGCGTTTTAAAAGGCGGATCCAACGTGCAGGGTCGCGAGAACCATTTGTCCCAATTATAAATACTCTTCGAGTAACTAATAATTACCGCTAAAAAAAAGAAAAAGTAAGAACTAAATAAAAAAAAAAAACAAGCGAATGAATTTACTCGCTCTCTTAACTTCCGTGAAGTTTCGTCTCGTTTCGCTAATAAAAACTTTCTATAAGAAAAAAAGAAAATAAGATGAGTACACACATATACGCACGTTCCCCGATGTTTTCAACCGCGGGGCAACGCACGACATACTCATAAATACGAGCTCGACAGAGGTAACCGAATGAGATAAACGACCGTCATTATTAGTAACTATTATTGCAATTAATTATCACTACGGTACGCAAGCATACACGGGTCGTCCGGGAAACGAACGCGAGATGTCGTTAATAGTTACGGCCGAGCTAGCTGAATCCGTCGGACCACACGTGATGTACTCGATTCTCGCGAAACAAATCTTGTCCACGATAAAAATGTACCCCGGGACGAGTCGAGATGAGGAACAGCACAGAAGTTTGAACACACGGTAGAAAATAAAAAAGAAAAAAAAAGATGAAGAGTGAAAGATATTTGGTGAGAGAGAGAGAGAGAGAGAGAGAGAGAGCACGTGTGTGTTAAATGTGTACGAGGAAGAGCGAGTGAGAGAGAGTGAGAGCGAATGAATGCGCAGAGTCAGTCATGCTGCAGCTACTACGACCACTACCCTAAGTAGATTACGCTACTTCGCCGCTGATCTAATTGTTTACTGTCACGTGTTGCTGTAAACCTAAACTAACGATACGATATATTTTATTTATATAATCTAATCGACTGTATTTATTGTAAATAGTCACGATGTTTGCTATGATATAATATATCTGTAATTGGATGGAACCTGCCTGGAAACTGCGCCCACAGCCCTGTCCTCTATGCATCACTGCTCTCTAACACACGCATGCACACATATACATACCATCAGCGCGTGCTTTTAACACGCGCGCAACACGGACACGCATACGCATACATATATGTATATGCGGATAA